TTGCAACACTAAGGCTGAATTTTTTTGAAAATTTAAGAGAGTGCGTTTTTTTTTACTGAAATGGTAATTTGAAAATTCAACCTTAGCACTGAAATTAAAAATTCATTTAAATAACAATAGTTAAACAAGTCTGATTCACTTGAAAATCTTGTTTTATCACTATTTTCTTTTTAGAATTTTAATAATACTTTGTGATTGGAAACTTTTTTTAGATAAATGTCATTAAATAATTTTAACAGAAAAGAGTTTTTTTCACCTTTTTTTAAAAGAGTTTTATTCACTTTTTAGTTTGTATATCCATAAGACTTTTTTTCATTTAAAGAACATAATAAATTGATGAAAAAAACATTTAGAAGAATGTCAATTATGTGAAAGACCAGGAAAAAAAAATAAACAGTTATTGGTTTGTTTATTTATTTATTCATTTATATCAGAGGTTCTCAACCGGGGTCCACATGGACCCTACAGACCCATATGATATTTCTGAAGGGTCTACAGACGAAATATAACAAATTGGGGGTCCACAATGATATTTTGGTGGTCCATGAAGAAAGCCAATTCAGAATGGTTTTTATTATAAAAAATTAAATTTCTATTTTAATTTACACTATATTGAAATATGTGTGTGTGTGTGTGAATGATTCTTTCTTTATTTATTTCTTTTATATAGGTACCTCCACCGAATTTTTGATACATAAGGCTTAAAATTAATTTTTAAAAATGAAAAATCATTCTTGAAGATTTTATTTTAGCTTTAATTGAAAGCTAAATGATTAAATTTATTATTTGCAATAAGTAAAATATTCTGGTGTATTTAAGATAGAAAGAACCCCTCATCGAATTATAAAGTGATGAAATAATGCATGCAAAATTCCAAGATGTAAAGTACAATATATAAAAAACAAATGATATTATTACAAAGTACCCTTTACTCTGGGATAAAGCACAGCTCTACGTTACTGCTTTTCCAACATCTTGTTGAATCGGGATTTAGTCATGTTTCTCAACTGTTATGAAAAGTTCACAACAGACTTGACATTGTGAAAAGAGGTGATCTTCGACTATCATTAACATCGATGGAACCAGATATAAAGAAACTTGCTGAGCAGCATCAACCACAGGGATCTAATTGAAGAAATATGCATTTCTTTTTTTTCTAATTGCACACTTAACTTAAATTAGTTTATTAAAATTTTTAACCAGTGTGCATAAATAAATGTTGCAGTCAGTTCAATTTCCAGAAGAGCTCTGCTCCCCATGAGCTTGGCCAGGGAAGAAACATTGTAATACAAGATATTGGTCAATAAAAATTATTATTACTATTACTATTATTATTATTTTCTTTGATTTCTGGCGTTTACACATTTCTTTTCCGGTCCCGCCCAGGGACTTAAGGTTAGAAATGGCATCATGACACTTTCCACTGACAAAAAAAAAAAAAAAAAAAAAAAAAATTACATAGATAAAGCCCTTCGTAAAGTGTGGGCTGTACTTGTCAGAACAATTTTTGTATCTCCTTGAGGCATGGACTTCCAGGAATCCCTTCAATTAATCTACTGCAATCTTTTCCAACCAGTCCTAGGGCTCCAACTACAACAGGGATTGTTGATGTTCCCATATGCCACATTTTTGAGATTTCTATTTCAAGGTCCTTGTATTTTGACAGCTTTTTGAATATCTTCAAAGATACATTGCAGTCAGCAGAGACTGCGATATCAACAAGGAGGCACCGTTTTTGTTTGTGGTCTTTAATAACAATTATTATTATTATTACTATTATTATCATCATCATCATCATTATTGTAGAATAACTTATTTGCATTAAATTAGTTTTCATTTAAAAATAAAGCTTAATTATATAATATTTCTTTGATTATTAAAATCTCAAAATTTTTGTTAGTGAAAAATAGAATATTGTTGTGTTATTTCAAATAGCTATTAAGGGGAACACCAGGGAAAAAGGAAGAGAAAAGGTGGCCATGGGTAAAAAAGGTTGAGGACCACTAATTTATGTGATAGAGAATTATGAAAGAGAAATTTCTTCCTTTTGATTGGCGGCTGAAATTAGCTTAGGTTTGCAAAAGAATCATTATTCATCTTTTTTTTTTTTTTTTTTTTTTTTTTTTTTTTTTTACAATAAATTTCTAGGAACCCTTCCACTTCTGGATTAAGGATATTATGATAAAAAGGGTCAAAATCTCTCAGCGCATCACTGGGGATAATAAAAAAAGAAAAGATTGTAACATAGCAGCTGTAATACACTGTTTATTTTATATTTTAGCATGCAAAAATAACCCAAGAAAAAGCCAAAGATGGCAAATGAATTCTCTGGCACCAAAGATGGCAAATGAATTCTCTGGCACCAAACCAACATGAAAAATTCCAGATTTCAGAAATTTGGCATCAAAAAAGCCAATCTGGCAACCCTGCACCCAGGTCTCTCATCACCTACTGTTATCAAGATTTGATTCCTTGGGATCTTTGGTATTTCCCAATGCTAAAATCAATGGAAAAATCCTATGGACAAGACAAAGGAAAATGGGACAAGTCAACTGATGATGCATCCAAGAGAAGACTTTGTCGACTTTCCAGAAAAGGCACATGGATATGTCTGTGAGGTCCCAAAGAGAGTATTTGGAAAAAGACGACAGCATCATTTTCCTAGGTAGGCTATTTTTCATTTATATTAAATGGCTAGATAATTTATCAAACATCCTGTACGTCTAAGAAATGAATTTTTCATTTATTAATCTGGAATATTTTAATTTATTATTTCAAAGTTATTTTTAATTTTATTTTTAATTTAAGATTTTTCAAATATTCAAGTCTGTAGATGGAAATATTGTTTAATAAATAAAGAAAAAAGAGCAGCTACTCAATTATTTGTTTTTTTTTTTTTGGAGCATGCAGTCGCAATGCTAAGGTTGAATTTTTTGGAAAATTTCAGAGAGTGTGTTTTTTTACTAATATGGTAATTTGAGAATTCAACCTTATCTTTGCAACTGCACGCATCAAAAGTTTTTATCCATTAACAATAACACATTTCTAAAAAAAACATATTTTGATTCTCATTTAATCTTTCATGTCCACTACTACCTGGATTTACTAAAAACAAAATAATTTCCCTGCCTGAGGATGGTTGTATGTACAGCTGAATGTACTAGCAGATTAAAAAACAGACCTTATACAGCTTGTAGTTATTAAAAACAAGTATTATAACATTCATCAAGTGATTCGTGGGTTAATGAAACTTTAAAAATTTTGTTTGTGTTGAAGCTTGGATAAGCATGGAATAATAATAATACAACACAAAATGTACGTAAACAAAATGTATTGAAACAAGGAAAAGGTACACAATATTTACAGTTAGTTTTGGTATATTCTTGGGAAGACTGTTCCTGCAGAATGGGTTGACTAAATAGCAGTCGGGCAGAGTCTCTCGATTCGATCTCTTCTTCTTCCCTTCTTTTCCGGTACCAACCCATATTTATATGGTCGGTACTCCACTTATGTAAATTAGGTGTATCGTACCACAACAGTTTGGGAAGAAGTTTTTTGCCATTTTATGTCATTAACTTTACTAATCTACTTTTTGTATGAATGATTCATTGTGATATAAATTGAACTGCACCACATATTTGATTTATATATATATATATATAAAATAAAGAAATATATATAATATCTTGCATTAACTGAACAACTCAAAGTTACATTCCGAAACAATTTTCAAGTACTGGAAATATATTTATTTTTATTATTATTATATTTGTGTGCAATTAATGTAAGGTATTATGTATATTTCTTAATATATATATATATCAAATAGCTCTGTTACTTAACATTGAGCACTATTTTTTTTTTAAGTATAGGGTATATGTATTTGTATATGATCTCTCACTTGTATACCTACCTATATATCTGGGGAGGAAGTGTGAGTTTGTAAACAGTGACTATTACAGCTAATAATGCAAGACTCTTTGATAAAGTGAATTGAGTTCTCTCAGTCACTGTGTGTTTATCCAAAAATAAATATGCTTAAATTCACCTTCATCCCTGCCATGCACCTACAACTTAGGGATAGAATCTTCAACCGACACCAATTTAGCCAGGTTTCAATCCTAGCTAGAGGCAACCGAACGTCTAGCCACACTGATGAGCTGTGATACAGCAAAACAGTCTGTGGATGACAATATATGTGTGTGCGTGTGTATACTCTTTCTGGAGGAGAAAATAGTTATAATCATTATCCCAGATCAACACACATTTACTAAGTAAATGATTAGAATTTATCTCAATATACAAATGCAAAAAAACAAATTTTTACTACATTACTTAAAAAACATCAACAAAAAACAAATTCCTTGAAAAACATCACATTTTGTAATTTTCTTTTTTTCTTTATACATGTTTTTTTCTACAGATTAATTCATTTACATATATGTATACATATATATGTATGTGTTTATATATATATATATATATATATATATATATATATATATATTTTTTACGAACCCCGATCTAAATTTATTATAAAAACTATACCATTGCTTATATTTTAGAAGCATTCTAAAATAAAGAGCCCAGTACTTGCAGAAAATTTAAAATAAACCCAAAGAGATAGGTAGACTTCGTAGTGACAAAGACTGATCACAGTGTACCCTTTCTTTCTCCTTTGGTCAAGGTGCTGATAGCATGATTTACGCGGATAGATTCCAGTTAGGAGAATTTGAAATACTTTAAACTAAACTTTCTCTGACCCTGAAGATGAGAGAGAGGGTCAATGACCTCATTCTACCCATAATGGGAAAAAGTTAGTATTTTGAAAATTGACCACGTGACAAGAAGAAAACAGAAACGAATAGTGAAACGGAAAAAGTTAGTCTTCGTCAACGTTTGGCAAATGTCTTGGCATATAGGTCGAAAAGATGTGTTTGCAAAATTGTGAGAAGAATTGGTCTCCCAGTCGAATGGATGGACCCGTTTTTACGACATACGCGGAACGCTGCTATATCAAAGAGAGAGAAAGCAGTTTCAACTGTCACCAAGCCCTTAAACAAAGCATGAGAGGGAAAAGAAAGAAAAAAAGAAAGAAAGAACAGACCATCTGGAGCGAAAATGCTGTTATACCAAGATGAAAAAGAGAGGGAACACACTTTCTGCTTAATTGACAGCCAAGCCCCTAGACGGCGAAAAGAAAAAGAGAGGAAGCAAGAAAAGACCTCAAAAGGAGACCCTTATAAAAAGAAATAGAAAAGGAAAAAGAAAAGATAAGACTAAGAGACATTGTTAGTGAAAAAGGACTTTATTGTGAGTTAAGTTTATTTTTCTTGTACCTTGTTTTTGTTTAAATGTACCTCTTTTTCATATTTGTACTTTCATGCAAATTTAGCATGAGATCTTTTTATTACATGTTCCTGTCCACTTGTCTTAAAATTTTGATGTTTTGTGAATCCATGCAGGTATAGCACATGTTCTATAAATTCGTGGCAGTATAGCACAAGGCCATATGCTGATTTTTATTTTACCTTTCTTAGAGGATGCTCTCCTCCCACTATTTTGTCCACAATGTTTATTCTTGACGTATCGTCATTGTTTTGGCCGTTTTTTTTTATTTTTATCTTTTCCACAATTCCATGTTTGTTAATAAATTTATATTTTCTGTCTCCATTGTTGTTTGTTGCCTATCGTGTTTGTTCCTTAACCGATTCCGCCCGGCCGTGTCTGATCAATCGGAAAGAGACCCTTGGGAAAGAAATATATTTTACAACAAAAAAAAATGTAAAATGTTAAAAAACAAAATAACACAGATTACGATCCTCCTCTACCTCCGCCATCGATAAGGTTGGAGAAAGTAAGGAAGGAGGGAGGGTCGTAATAATATATATATATATATATATATATATATATATATGAGAGAGAGAAAGAGGGAAAGATATTTTGTTGGCAACCATTTAACTCATAACAGACATGAGAGAAAAAGTAGGATAAAAAAGACAGTAAGAGAAAACAAAGAACCGCAAGAAGTAATAAACTCCAACAATGACCATCTGAAGCCTGAGGAGAATTAAACATGGAATCTGCACCATCCAACTATAAAAATTATTTGAAAAGAAAAAAAAAAGATCAATAAGAGAGAAAAGGAGACCATTTATCCCACCCTCTTTACACACACTCACACTTTACTACAAGTCGGTCAGAAAGCTTTAAAAATAAAATAAAAAAGATAAAAGGAAAGGTTGATTTTTTTTTTAAGTATATAAACACAAGATGATAACAAAAATGAATTATGAGGCCTCTATGCATCTCTTGTTGACAACTGTATTTATTGGAGTGAGAAAAAGAGGAAATAAAATGCAGTAAAAAGAAGAGAAAAATACAAAATAAATGAAAAGCAAAGTCTGTCTATATTTCTGAGATGAAGTATTGTAATTATTTACACTATTTACATTGGACTGTTGTCCTCATCTTTGTTGCCATATTCATGATGTTATGGCCATTGTATACACAGACCTTTCAGAATATTTTGGGAATTGAAGGAATAGGGACTGAATCCCCAAATAAGTTGGGGAATTTTAGCTTTCCCAAACTCCCCCAATAGTTTTAGAGATAGATGCACGCTATGTTTGAAGGAGAAAATCATGATAAAAAAAGACAAAACTCAATACAAACTATTAAATTAATGGAAAGAGTTAATTACAAAATGCGGACATAGGAACAGATTCAAAATTACATAAGAATATATGTACGTGTGTGTTGGGGGAGTATGGTGACTTACATATATGTATGTATATGTACATGCACAGACATGTGAATGTGGATATATGTATGTGTATATGTGTAGTATAGAATGATCTATTCCATTAGATGTCCCAGTATTACCCACAATTTATGAATCTATCATTCAACTAATTTACCTAAATTTAATTGGTCCTAACGTTAAATCCCACATCACTTATTAATAACATTAAACCCTTATGGTCTAAATACTATTTACTATAAATCCCAGGAAAACACACTTGCTGATAGTATATGGAGCACCCCATAGAGAGAACCGAAATTTAGGTACAGACAATGAAAGGCTCTAGCCACACATAAACTCCAACCCCGGATCACTCCCCCACCCCCTCTCTCCCAGACACCAACACAAGCTCCTTATCATAAGGCATCTCTTGGAGGACTGATATTGAAAATAAATTCAAATCCCTACTTCCAGACAAACACTTAAAAGCTGAAGATGATGGGTTCAGACCAGCTTCAAATACACTATACACATGTTGAGGTAATTTTGGTTTTTGCTGTAAATATATATATATTTAAATAAGTTTTTTATAGTACAAAATTTAACGATATCTATGAAAAAGCAAAATTTATATGGCATTTTAAAAAGCTAAAAAAGGAACAAATAGTTTCCTCCCAGCCTTATCAAGTTTATTTTCTGGGATATAAAAAAAATATAAGCGTGTAAATTAAATTAATATAACGAATGGAAGGAGAAAAAAAAAATTATGAATTTCAAGAAAACTAGAGTCCAATAACATTCAGAGCCAGTAAGCATTCCCTCTGTTTACAAAGGGAAGGCCCACGGGATCTGATATACAAGGACTCTAGAAACTTGAGGTGAAATGTGGAGTGGGACCTAGATAAAATCGAAAAACGGTCCACACTAAAATTAACCACACAATCCATATTCATATATATATATATATATATATATATATATATATATATATATCCTTTGAAAGTGCCTGAAACCATACCACAGGTTGACCCAAGCCTTCTGAGTAAAATTGGGTAGACAGAACACTTGGGGGACTGTCAATAGCTGTGCTAACACAAAGTCACAGGTCATCATGACTGAGGGTTTGAGTGTGTTGGCCTTGTTCAGATTTTTACTCATGCCCACTCTCTCCTAGAAACTGTAACTAAGGTCTGCTCACCATAGTGCAGTATAAACCACAGGGGGGGGCTCTGTGGGTGTTGAACAAACACAAATCTGCCTGAGCCAGCATCTGCAATAGGGATTGGCTAGCTGCCCTAGTAGACAGGCATCCTCGAATACAAGTGGCCAACTATTATTATTATCTAATATATATATATATATATATATATATATATATATATATATATATATTAGCAGCATTGCCCGTGCTTGATTCAAAAATCATACGACTCATACAGCAATTGCTATCACTTGATTTTTGCCCTTCCTTGCCTTTAAAGGAGTGCCCTTTGCTACATGCCTTACTTCTTGCCTATCCCACACTGCAAATTTTTTCTAAGCTCTATACTAAACATTAAATCTGTTATGAAAAAAGAACTAAACAAAATGAACACAAAACAATCAGCTTTAAAAAAAGGACTCGTAACTGGAAAAACCGAATGAAAAAAAAATGTTAACAACAAATACTTTTTCACACCCAACCCAGTTCTGTGGAATCAGAATCAATGTTGAGTTTAAGCAAGCGAATGAGTCAATTGGAGTAAAGAACCATGCAGATTTAAATGTTTCCCACTTGTGACGAATGCAGCTATTGAATTTTTTTTGCATGCTAGCATGCTAGTTAACATTCATGTCAGTCAGCTGTTGGCTCTCATGCTGGCCAAGAGAATCTTCCTGCCTATTCGTGGCAGCTAGCTATAGGCTCTTACTCTGGCCAGTAGAAAATGGCCGCAAACTACATGAAAACTGCCGTAGAAGTATGAAAAAATTGATTATTTCCACTATCGATGGGAGTTGGGAAATGTAAAGTCAGTCTTGGCTTTTCTGCTAACTTGGAGCATGTGCATGTAAATTTTGGTGCAAATCCATCGAAAATTGCGCCCATGCATTCATTACACACACACATCCTGCCTTTTTTTTATATATATATATATATATATATATATATATATATATATATATATATCAATAGGGAAGAAAGAAAGTAATTACTGAAAAATAAAGAAAATGATTTTTGTAAAATAGAGAAGAAAAGGAAGAATTTACTGAAAAATAGAGAAGAAAGAATGAAATTATGGAAAAAATAGTAAAGAAAGAAATTACTTAAAAATAAAGAAAGCAAGAATTTACTGGAAATTAGCAAAGAAAGGAAGAATTTACTGAAAATTAGGGAAGTATGATAGAGAAATATGAGAGAAAGCCTGTTTATGTGAGACAGAAAAAGGTGAGAAAACTTCAAGAGAAAAAGAGAGATTGACAGATCAATAGTAACAGCAAGCAGGTGATCTCTTGTCATAACTAAACACATTCTCCATTTCAAATTTCAAGTAGCTGTTCAAGAATTAGATGTTAGCAACAAAGCTCTTAAGCTGCCAGAAAAACTGCATTTGCCTTTTCAGAGTTCAAATGGTTAGCAAATCATTTCAATACATGAAAACTATGAATTGTCAGGAAAATAGGTGAAAACATATGGCTGTCTAAATGAAGGTGAGTTGATAAATGTGTTTAAAAAAATTTTTCAATTCAGCTATAAAAACAGACCAAAACTAAAGTAAATATGATAAAAGTGGCTTTTTCCATTTTTTTTTTTTTTTTTTAATCATTTCATCCTAAGCAAAGCAATAAAGCCACTAGGGTGCAAAAGGTTGCTGAGTGTTACAGAATATGAGAAAAACTACTATGAAGGAGAGAGGACAATAAAAGAATAAGAATTATGAAGGCAGAAGATAATGATTGACATTGCATTTAAATTTTTGACGATCAAAGTTGACTGGAAAGCAAGAAGCCGGTAGAGAGTTCCACAAGTGAGAAGTGCAATAGATGAAACTGTTAGCATGTTGCATCTAGCCAGTTCAAATCTAAAATGATGAGACCTTGCTGCCAATCTAATACTATGCTTAAATTCATTAAGTCAAGTTCCTATAGAGGAAAGTTCATCAGAACAATTAACATGAAAGTATTTAGAGAAAGGGCACAGGAGAGCTATGTTACAATGATAGGAAAGTGTCTGAAGGTGATATGCCAGGTCAGATTCATATTTGGATTTTATCAAGAATCCTCTAAATATATAAGAGCATCAGACCAGATGTAGAAGCAATATTTAAAGCAAGTATGAATGGTGACTTGTAAATATGTAAGATAGATTCTGGTGAGAAAAATTGTCTAGCAAAATATCGCAAGCCAACTTTCTTAGCTGCAAATTTAGCAATTGATTTGATATACTGTTTCCACTTCAGCAGAAAATCAGTAACTCAGCCACACAGCACTTCTAGTCAAACAAAACCTGAATTGTACCTTTTGAACACACACTTCTCTGCCAATTCTCAAAACATCCATATCGGCTCTGTATCATATCCTAATGTAAACAAGGATAATTTATTTTTAGGAAATGGATTAAATCCAACATATTGTTATTTTTAATTTATTTTGTTTAAATGTTAACTTTGATGGATACTCATATTCAAGTAGAAGCTCAGTTTTTTAAATAAACAGTATTTTTTATCCAACTACATCTACTGGCCTGAATATTTGAGAAATTTTCAGTACCTGTCTATATTTCTGAGATGAGATATTATGTACACTATTTACATTATTTGGACTATTGTCCTCATCTTTGTTGCCATATTTATCACATTTCAGCTGCTGTACACACATGACATGTCTACTGGATGTCAGTTGTCAGTTATTAAGCAGGTGATAACTGATAACTGATGTCCATTAGACATGGCAGATGGAACTAGAAGAGTCTACCCCAGTGAGCGAAATAAAGGGTTCAGTTTGACATTCCAACCACCTGAAGAAGGCCAGAGCGTACAACGGCTGAAATGTTGTAATAAATAAGAAATCTTGTTGGAAAAAATAAGGTTTAAACAAAATAAATTAAAAATAATATTATATATATATATATATATATAAATAAATGGGAAAATGATATATAAATTTTTATATAACAAAATAATTTTATGAAAATATAAGACAAAAGAGGAAAAAGTTTTTCAAGAATCAGTAAAAATGTGGGGTTCAGAAGCACTATTCAAGCTGTGTTTGATCAGAAGGTCCTACATGGTTAAGTTGGTTTAAGGCACATCAGACCTAATAAAAGTTTCCCTTAGGGAACACTGGTTTGAATCCTACTGGAGGGTGCATATTTTTCAAACAAGATTTCTTGAATATTCAGACCAGTAGATGTAAATAAATAAATATACTGTTTAACAAATAAATAAAAACAGACCATCTACTAAAATATGGATATCCATTTAAAATAACATTTAAACAAATAAATTAAAAATATGTTGGGTTTGATCCATTTACACACTTATATATATATATATATATATATATATATATAGTCTCTTCCTCATCCTTGAGGAAATTGTCAAACATTTGCTGTTGTAAAGAACAGATGTCACATAACAGTTTAGTATTCTTTTCTTTGTTACCAAAAAAATTCCTACTGTCTCACAATACCCTGCTCAGCTTTTGGAATGTGTCCTTGACCATCCCAATACGTCTACAGATCTCAGTGTTGCACTTACCATCCTCTGTCAAGACGCTTCCCAGATATTTAAACTTCTGCGTCTGCTTGATTATAGTGTTCCCGACTTGCAAATCGTATTTCGGGCTCCTCCTCTTACTGATGACCAACTGAGTGAGAATGTATATAAGAAAAAGAGAAACATCATTAAGTAGAGAAAACAATAAAAGAACAATAATTGAGAAGACAGAAGATAACAATATACAGTGCTGCCAGTAGTCACATGAATCAATGTACATCATGTAATATACATGCACAGATATGAAGAGATGGGCACTGATCATTTAAGCATTCCATACTACATCCCAAACCAATCTACAAAAGGTTAGGATGGAAGCTTCTATCAATAATGGAAAGAGCAATAACAATTACTGGACTTGAGAAACTTCCTCTAAAATTCTTTTAATCAAAAGATTTTATAAATCTCAACAGACAATAGCATTGGCTGCTTGGTCAATGAATGCCAAATGTTTCCATATAAGGAAATGGTTAATATTACCATTTTCATTTTAGTGAAAATTATTAATGTTACAATTTGATACCAAGTGAATACAAGTAAGACTTGATTAACTTATAATTTACAGAGAAAGATAAAATTTGCATAGTATTTAAAACATATATTGACTTACTAATTTGCAAAATTTCAGCTCTTTGGCATTTATAGCTATTAAGTTTTTACATATTGAAATAGAGCCAAGAACTTTTCTGTTAGATATTCATGCATATCAGGTATAAATAAAAGAAAAATGTCTCAAGTAGTCAGCCTGAGTAATAGTCCAAGTTAAAGTTTGAGCCAAAGTAGTAAGAGGAGTCATTTAAATATCTTCCTAAGTCTCATCTATTTCCTGTCATACAGAAAACTCTCTTGATAAGAAAATGGACGAAAAAAAATAAAACAGTTTTTGTAAAAATCATCTCAACAATTTCTTGAATCTAAAAACGATGTGTTTATTCTTTATCTGCTTTTTTCTTTGCCTGTCCATTTTTTTTTGGTGGTGGGGGGATATTTTTACAAGTCCAAATTTTCACCCCTTCAACTTTAAACAATTAAATTAGATCCTTTAAATAAAATAGCATACAAAAAAATTATATATGGTAGGCTTTGAGTTCATGCTTATTAAATAATTGTATCAACACAAGATGAAGCAATGGCCTGCTCACAGAAATTAAATTTTTGGTTCCATCTCCTTGTACCTCACTGGCTGAGTCATTTGACTGCCAGGATAAATTATAAAAAATGTTCTTTTCCTCGCAGACATGACTTGTATCAACTTCTGTGTCATTATCTAATCTTGTCCCATCTTTCTGACACAAGATCTCTAATTAACAAAGAACGGTAATGTCACATGAAAAAGTTTCATCCGATCTTGTACTTTTATTTGTCTTTCTCTTTAGATCATCAATTTTTATTTGAAATTTATGCTGTTTGCCAGACAATTACAATCAGGAAACACAAGCTCGACCAATGTATGTCTTTGGTGCCGAATGAAAAGCAAATACAGTCAGTGAATGGTATCAAAGATTTAATGTCCACTATCATTTACAGTGGGCCTGGATGCTGAAAATTTTGAAGATAAAGAATCCAGATTTATGACAAAAAATTGAAAGACAAGGGATTATTATTATTATTATTATTATTATTATTACCACAGTTTTCTCCTTGGTTTGTATCAGCCTGTCCAGCCATTATAGTCCACAGGAATCACTTTTTTTCGGTTGTATTAGTGTGATAAAAATGTTGAAGCTTGGTCTGTTACTTTGAATATCTCAAAGGCATTTGACAGGGTTTGGCATGCTGGTCTTTTTCACAAGTTGAAAGGTGATGGTATTTCTAGATGAACTTTTGATCTGATCCAATCTTTCCTGTCAAACTGTGAAAATAAAAATTGTCTTGAATGGCCACTCTTCTAAATCTATTTGCACTAATGCAAGTGTCCCCTGGAGGTCTATCCTTGGACTTATGGTTTTCTTAATTTTCATCAACAACCTTCCTGATGTCATCAGTTCTCAATTCAGTATCTATGCTGATTGAACAACTATTACTCTTGTCTTAATAGTAAGTCTGATTGATTCTATAGGGTCAAATTGGCCAGAATGACCTACAATCTGTTGTTAACTGGGCCAAAACATGGCTTGTTAATTTTATTGCCTCCACAATGAATCAGCTCTCTTGATTGTCTTAGAGAAAACCTTTTTTTATCTGCCATCAGCATGGTTGATGCTAAACTTGAGGAGAGTGACTCATTGTACTTTCTTAGGCTAATGTTTTTTGTGGACATGAAATGGAAAGATTATATTGAATCAATTGCTAGGTCTGCTGCTAGGAAAGTTGGTTCACTGTGTCATGCTAGACAACTTTTCTTGCCAGAATCTATCTTACATATTTATAAGTCTACTATTCATCCATGCATTTAATATTGCTGCCACCTCTGGTCTATTGCTTCTGCTATGTATTTAGAGATTTTTGATTAAATCCAAAGAAGAATCTGCAATGTTATTGCTCCTGACCTGGCATCTTGGCTTCAGTCCCTTTCCCACCACCATAACATAGCCTCCCTGTGTCTTTTTTATAAATGTTTTGATGACAAGGTCTCATCATTTTACAGATGAAAAGGGTAGCTGTAACTGTAAGTTCTATGCAAACAGTTTCTTCTATCACACTTCTCGCTTGTGGAACTCTCTTCTGGCTTATTGCTTCCTAGTTGATTTTGATCTTCAAAAATTTAAATGCCATGTTAATCATTATATTCTGTTTTCTTAAT